GGGGGGGGGGGGGCGGCGAGCGCCCCTGCCCCTGCAGCTGCCCACTGCAGGGTTCAGCGGTCGCAGGGCCAGAAGGTCAGGAGGGGGGAGCGGTCACTCACAGAGGGGGGTCTGCACACTCACGTGGCTCATCCTGTCCACGGTGGTGCTGACCAGGTAGAGGGTGCTGATGCTGACGTCCCGCACACTGTCCGTGGCGGGGTCCTCGCTGTCGGGACCCGGCTTCTGAGGCTGGTGTGGGGGGGGGAGGGGGCAAAGGCAGGCGCACGCATGGGGCCACCACCGCTCTACGCGGCTGTGGGCTGTGGGCTCTGGGCCGTGAGGACACGGCCCGTGTGCGAACAGGGCAGACCCTGTCCGGCACCTGCCGGGGGCAGGTAACACACACTGCGCTGAAACTGCCCAAGGACGCGGGCTCGCCTGGCTGAGCTCTCGTCCCCAGAATAGAGGAAACCTTGCACGTTCCCTGCCAGCCGCGGGCTTCGGCAACACTGACATGCGTAGAAATGGGAGGGCCTTTGTGGAAACGACAACCACCTGAGAAGACTCCCATTTTCTACCAAGAACAGGCTGCAACTTGCGCAGCCTGACGCGGCTGACGGTTCGGCCAGAGACGCCTGCTGTCCTCGCTGGTGAGGTGGCGCCCCAGAGCCCAGCTCCCTGGGCAGGTTCCAGGCAGGAAAATGGCCCCTGTTCTCTAAATGTTCTGTCCGAGCCTTCCGTCTGTGCTTTCAAATAGCAAGAAGCAAGCACCGAACAGCCAAGAGACAGCAGAACTTCGACGACTGTAGCAGACCTACAGTCCTCACGCAGACATCAAAGGCCAAAAGCAGAAAAAATAGGGGTGCTTAGGCCTCGAATGACAATTTTTAAAGCATGTTCTACAAACGTAGATAGAACTTCATACTGAACAAACATGAACCACTTTGGAGGTCTGATCATCTGCTAGATCAAAAGGACAATCTCTCAACAATCTTTTTTTTTTTTTTTTTTAATGATTTTGCTTTTTTAAGTAACCTCCGTGCCCAGTGTGGGGCTTGGACTCACAACCCCGATATCAAGGGCGGCTCGCTCCTCCCGACAGAACCCGCCAGGTGGCCCTCCCAACAGAGTCTCAAAAGCAGGAATAAACCTGGTTAGATTCACAAGAGACAGTACAATAAAAGTACAAGTCCGCAGTGGCCGCAGAAAGCTACTCACCTGGACAGATTTTAATATCCTAAAGAAACCTTCAAATCCCCAAAACACTGGGAACTAATAGGCTACACCAGAGGACTTGATTCTCTCCAGCTTAGGCCCCACAGCCCCAAAGCGGCGGTGAAAATGCAGAGGCCAGAATCAGCCAAAGCAGCAGTGGACCTGGCCCCCCACAGGCCTGCGGGAGCAGCACCCAGCGGGACCCCCTTCCCGAGGGCCGGCAGCATCCACTAGCGCGGGTTACACCCCGGCATTTCAACCTAACCACAGAGGCCCATGTGGGGACATACGTGTCCCCTCTGAGCTGACCTGGGCAGGCAGGTGGTTCTGTGGGCACGAGAGCCCAGGCCAGGGCGGGCTCAAGGCCGTGACACTGAGACCACCCCGTCATGCCTGCGTGTTCCTGCCGTCAACCTTGCTCTCCCTCGAGAAGAAACTTGGATTTGCTCGGTAACGCTTTTAACACAAAAGCCCCAGGGAGGACCAAGCATCTGTTCTGCCTCTCTTCTGAGTGCTGGGAGCTAAGGAAGCGGGGCGCTGCGGCTTGGAGGCCCCACCTCAGACACGGGAGACAGGTGCTCGGCACGCGGACCCACCCGCCTGCCCTCTGGCCAGGCCTGCTCCCAGGAGGCCGCCAGCTCGGGAGCCCCAGGGAGGGTGGGTGAGGGGCCCGCCCTTACCTCGGCCTCGGGGGGCAGCGCGCACTGCTGCACGATGTACGCGACCATGGCCTCTCCTCCAGGCTGTTCCAGGTAGCCGTGGTGTGCCATGGCACTGATCACCTGCACCACTGCCCGCTTCACCTGCCCGGACCCGAGGGGGGTCAGGGAGGCGCCCCGAAGGGAGCCCTGGCCAGCACCACAGCAGTCCAGCCGGGAGGGGGGAAGCTCTCCCTCTCCTCTGCCTGTGCCCGCCCCTGCAGCCACACCTGCGCCACAGCTAAACGTGCACCTGTACCAGCACCCACGCCCACACGGGATCCGCCTCGGGGCCTCGTCCTCCCTGCCCCGCAGCTGCGCAAGCGGCCCTCCGGCCAGCCTGTGCGCACGCTCACGTCCTCAGGGGAGGGCCTCCCGCCCCCCACACCTCCCCCTTTTCCTGGGCACTGGACATGCTGCTACTCTGGCTCTAGACGTGCCTCCCCTCTGCCCCCCGCCCCCGCCCCGGCGCAGGACTGCTGTCCCTCAGGGCGGGCACCTCTCTGGTGCCTCGGGGCGAGGACCCCGAATCTGCAGCTGTTTCCCAAACGTTCCTGGGATTGAGCCCGCTGCCCAGCCCCACCTCAGTGGCCCTGCCTGGTGGCTCAAAGGCACAGCCAGGTCACTGTGGCCGAAAACCCTCTTCCCCAGAGCCGGCACTCTCCCCGGCCCTCCTGCTTCTTCCTGTGGTGCTGCGGAGCCCTGGGGCACAGACCCTGCTCTAATGCCCCCTCCCTGGGGTCCTCAGGTCCTCACGACACCTCTCCTTTGCACGTCAGGTCAAATGTCACTGCCCTGGGCCTCCTTGGCCACTCACAGCTGTGTGTCATCCCCCGTTATACGTGTGCCCCGAGTGACTGTGGGAAGGGGCAGATGTGGGCGAGCAAACAATCCGGTCGCATAATGAACGCTCGGGATGAATGCATCTGGCCACGGGCACTGTTGGCGGTACACGGTGTGGCCCTCTCAGGGGTGTCCCGGAGCAGCATCAGCGAGCAGGAAGGGATTCCAGGGACTGTGCATGGGAGTCTGGGACACGTGTGGCCCCAGCGGTTTGGGCTCCATTTTGGTAGTTTCTAAAATCCTCATGGAAGGTCCCAAAGACCAGGCCTGACGATGGAGTCTGGTTAATCTGGTGTGCAGGAAGGGTCGCCCCTGCCCTCGGCTGCTGGGAGGTCACCACCAAGCCCGGGGACATCCAGAGTCCAGTGTCCTTGTTTCCCCGGGGCTCTGGGCCACACGGGATCGGCTCGGCCTCCCGAGGGGCCGGAGACTGAGGTCAGCCACACGGGCGGTGAACCGGGTCTACGCGACGGAAGCCAGATAAAGGCCTCGCACGCCGGGGCTGGGGGCTTCCCCGGTTGGCGACGCTGGTGCGTGCCATCACGTCGCTGCCAGGGGAGCCAACGCTGCCCACGGCCCCGCGGGGAGGGGACGGTTCGCACCCTCCTGGGCCCTGCCCGGTGCGCCCCAACCCCTGGCTGATGGTGGTGTGTGTCCTTTCCCCGTGATAAACCTGACTGCGAGCGTGACGCCCCCCGGGGGTGCTGGGAGTCCTCCTGGAGGACGACCCAACCCGAGGGGGTCCGGGGACCACTGCCCCACTCCGTGTCTGGTTAACTGTATCAGGAGTAGGATGTGGCGAGTCAAGGACTGACCGCTCAGTGGTGTGCCCTCCCTCTGATGTCTGGGTGTGGCTGAGGGGCTGCTGCCTGGTCAGTGACACCTCCCAGCCCAGCCCAGCCACACTTCCTGCAGCTTCTCGAAGTGGAGCTCAGGCGGCACCCCGTCTACCTTGCTGTTGGTGTCCAGAAGAGGAAGCCTCATGGAGGAGAGAATAAAGGGCTTCTTCACTTCCATCTGAGAAGCTGCAAGAAACCAGCAGAGGGCTCGGTCTCCCCAGCACGATGAGGCTGGCCGGCCCGCCCACCCCCACAAGGCCCAAGACCTCATCACCAGGGTCCGGCTCAGCATGGCCCTCAGCACGGGGAAGGGACGGTGCCTAAGCACAGCCTGCCCACTTTCTGGGGGACAAATGACCTTCTTCCCAAATAACACTATTTTGCCCAATAAAAAGCTAGAAGATTGGTAATTTAGGGCAGCAGGCGAAAGAGTGTACGGAGTCAGGTCAAGCCAGGTTCAAGGGCGGGGCCTCCAACAGCACCCCAGTCCCAGCAGGCCTGGTAAAACCTGCAGGTGCACACATTTCCAGTTTTGCTCACACTGCTGGTCTGAGGACCCCACCTTGAGAAGCAGCAACATAACCCTCTGTTTCCTGATACACATTTTTTAAATGTATGTTTGTTTGTT